TGTATTGTTTGACTGCTGAGGAAACAACTGTTAAAACAAATGCTGCTGAATTAATTCAATTTATATATTTTAAAAATGCTTTGACTCAAAAATTTAAGTTCAAGGACAAGTTACTGGGGAAAAGGATTTCTATTTTTGTTTCCACAGAAAATAAAAATCTGTGGATTCCTTCCAGACTAATGTGGTTTGATCAAGCCAGACCCCCTGAAATAGAGTCACTGGTGATCCAACATTCAAAACAGCTTGAACAAGACAGCCTTGCAGACTACAGCCAGGATTTCTGTGTCTTCTTAGGATTCCCCCATGACAGCCACCTTTACCAGCAGGAAGTAGTTTGGAAAGAACGATGCCCAAATTCCCAAATATTGTTTATAAATGTTTGTTTTCATTTAAATGGACTTGGTTATAAGTGGTTAATGATCACAACCAATATCTTTTTAAAGATAAAAAAGGGATTATGGTATAGATATGAATACTTTGTTTTGGAATGGATTTTCATTTATTGATACAATTTAAGGTCAATTTTGTGATGTGTATATTTCTCCTTTTGTTTAGGTATTGTGTTTATATAGTTCATTCAGAAATGTATTGTATAATGTAGTACAAATTATAGATAATTACCTATGATAGTCAAAGCTTAGAGTTAAGTTAGCTAGGTTTTCAAGATACACAGAGATGTATTTGAGATAGATAGGCATTCTTCAAACCTTTCAAAGACATATAGAATATGGCATTTAAAATGGTTTAGGGTTTTTCTTGACAGTGAGACATAAATGCTTCTGGCAACACCACCTGCATCAGAAAGGAAGATGGACATTGAAGAAACAAACTCGTTATGAAGTTTACTTCCAATATGGCAAGACTAGCCATTTGGACAAGATACTGCTCTTGTCTGGACTGTTTGACTTTATGCTGTATAAACTGGACATGCAGGACCCACAGAAAAGTGACTGCTGATTCAAGATGGACATTGCTACAGAGATCCTGCTTCATGGAAGAGTCTGCCAGTCTACAGGGACAGAGAAAAGTGACTGACAAACTGGCAATACAAGAAGATAGTTTAAAGTTTCCTGCTTTGCTGAAGAGTCTGCCAGACACACTATGGCCTATGGGCTGAAGATGGAAGATTACAAAAGAACTTCGGGTGACCAGGCAGTGAGTTGTCTCTGTCATTTCTAGAGTTTATATATTATCCTTCTGTGGTCTTTGAAGGAGTTGAAGACAGATAGTTATGGTTATAGTTTTCCTTAGTTAGGCTTAAAGATAAATCACATATAGGACTTTAGACTCACAAATATAGGATAGATGATAGAATAGTTTTTTAATCTTGCTAAATGTTAATGGACTAAATATTGTTAACTGTGATTCTTACTTGATAACTGTTGTGCTATATATTTTGCTATGTTAAGCTTAAAACCCTTCTTTTTATTTAGACAGAAAAGAGGAGATGATGGGAGATGTCATTCTGTATATGTTTCTCATATTGGTTTAATGAATAAAGCACTGTTGGCCAATAGGAAAGCAAGATAGGAGGGACTAGGAGACAAGGAGGAAAGAGGAAGGAGGAAGGGAGCCAAGATGGAGAGTCGGGAGAAAGCAGTATGCCGCCGGCTCCCAGGTAAGAGAAATACATAGATCAGCAGAAATGGGTTAATAATTAAGGCAGAGCTAGCCGATAAGAAACAAGTAACCGGGCCAACAGAATTATATCAAATACAGAGTCTCTGTGTGTTAATTGGGGCTGGAGCAGCGGCGGGAGAAGACCAGGCGGCGGGCGGGAAAACCATACTCTTTACAATCATACCTGGCTTGAACTTGGTCTTGATACGATTGGTTGGCTAGTAGGGGTTTTAGTCCCTATTTTGGGATATTTTGCTGAGCTTCTGCTATGGTTAGAATATGATGTAGCCCTCCCATCCTAACTCATGCTGAAATTTGGTTGCCCGTGTGGCAGAGTTGGCAATGGATCTTTTAAGAATTGAACAGGTTGGTTAGAGGGTTTGCCAGGCACACACAGCAGATATAACACCCCCCCCCTTTATCTCTTCCACCTGATTGTCCTGCTGACTTCTACCACAGGAGGAGGCCCTTACCAGAAGCTGAGATGTTGCACTACACTCTTGGCCTTCCCCACCTCAGAACCATGAGTCAAAGTGCATCACCAAGTCTAAAGTGCCTTGTTTTTGAAATAGAAAACAGGCTAAGGAAGATTCATTTTTCTTTTCAAAAAGAAAATTATATTCATTTTTGTGTCTTAAAATTTTTCTTCCTCATTTTTTTTTTGCTTTATTATCTAGTCACATAGGTTATCTGCCTTCAAACTGTATTTTGTTTTTCAATTCGGTTGTAAGATAGTAGGTTTCTACGTGGCTTTTCCATACTCACTCAACTTTGATTAACCCTTACTATCATCATCTCATCTCTCCCATAGCCTTATCTGAATATAAAATAGTGGAAAATCTGGTGCTAAGACATAAGACCTATCAAACATTTCATAAACAGTATAAAATGCACCAAGTGTATTCAAGATCCTGCCAGAATATTAAAAATGGCCCTATTGTACTGTCAAGTATGTTTTGTTAGATTTTTACAGAAGTGTCTTCTATTTATTTGCCAAAGGTTAACATTCTAGAATATATAAGGAACTGTACTTGCTAAAAACTCAGGTAATCCAATTAGACATAAATTATCTGAACAGAAAAGTTCTCCAAAAAAAAAAAAGGTGGCAAAGAAATACTAATGTCCAATAAGATATCATTAGTTTTCAGGGAAATGAAAATCAAAGCTACGAGACTCAATCTTACCACTCTTTAAAAGACTATTATCAAACAACAGCGCCAACCACAAAAATGAAAGCTCTGTTATGGATAGAGACATAGAGAACAGTTAAGGCTGGCAAGACGGCTCAGCAGCTGAGAGCAGTGGTTGCTCTTGCAGAGGACCAGGGTTCCATTCCCAGCACACGCACGGCAGCTCACAGCCGTCTGTAACTCCAGTCCCAGGAGGATCTGAAGCCCTCTTCTAGCCTCCACCTGCCATGGGCACTGTGCATATATATACACAAGCAAAATATCCACATACATAAAAATAAATAAAATCTAAGATAAGAATGCTTAAACACTACATAGCTGCCATGGAGTGGAAAATAATGTAGAGGCTACATATGCACACACACAGATATATACATACATACACACACACATAGAAAGAGAAAAACTAAGACTTGCTGTGTGATATCTGGGTACATACCTGAAGAAAATGGTGTCAGAATATGATATGAATATCATATATATGTATATGTACATGCATGTTATAGTTCTGTCCAAAGAGCTAAGATATGGAGTCATCCCAGGTGCCCATCAACAGATGAACTGATGAAGAAAATATGATATATGATATATGTACACAGTGCATTATTGCTTTTTATGTGCATGTGTATGTATGTGTGTGGTTGTAGATACATGTGTGTATGTGTGTGTATGTATGTGTGTGGTTGCAGATACATGTGTGTATGTGTGTGTATGTGTGTGTGTATATATGTGTGTGGATGCAGTTATACACACACGTGTGTGTATGTGTGTGTTTATATGTGTGTGTATGTGTGTGTGTGTGTGTGTGTGTGTGTGTGTCTGTGTATGTAGATCAGAGGCCAGCCTCAGGTGTCATCCTCAAGAACAACATCCATCTGCTTTGGAAACAGTATCTCACTGGCCTGGAACTCACTGATGTCCAAACTGACTGGCCAGAGCCTCAGTGATCTTCCTGCATCTCCTGTCTTCTTAGCATTGGGATTATAATCAAGTGCTACCACATCAGATACTTTTTTACATGGTCCCCAAGCTTCCGAGGAAAGCATTTTACTGGATGAATTATTTCCCTGGCCCCTCATTATGTGTTATTGTTCATAAAGAAGAATGAAATCCTGTCGTGTGTAGGAAAATGGATGGGACTATAAAGGGCACCATGTTAAGTGAAATAAGCCAGACCTGGCTGGTCAAGTGTCACGTCTTCCTCTTTAAAAATGAATGATGAATTGGAAGTGGAAGAGAGATTACTAGGGCCTGGGAGAAAAGTGTTTGTCCCGGTGTTTTGTTTTGTTGTCTACTTGATACAAGCTAGAGATTTCGGAGATGAGGGGAACTTAACCGGGAGGGTGCCCTCACCAGATTAACCTGTAGGCAAGTGTGTGAGGCATTTTCTTGAATAACAGCTAATGTGCACAGCCCTTAGGGTGGTGTCACCTCCGGACAGGTGGCCTAAGTTTTATTAGGAAGCAGGCCGTGCAAGCCACGTGGAATAAGCAAATGAATACACAACATTCCTCTGTCGCTTCTGATTCAGTTCCTGCGTCTGGATTCTTTCCCTGACTTCCTACAGTAATGGAATGTTACCTGAAGTGTAAGATAAAGTAGGCCCTCTTCCTTCCACGAGTTGTTTTTGATCATGGTGTCTAATCGCAGCAATAGGGAAGCAAAGATAAGATTAGAAAGAAAAAAGGGAAGAGAGGGCAGGTGGGTGAATGGGCATGATGGGCATATAACGTATAAGTGAATAAAAGTACCTTAGTGAATCCCATTAATTAGTAAAGTTGAGATGTTTTAGTAATTATAATGAGAAGAGATGAAGGCACTGCCGTCATGTGTTGGGATGAGAAGTCCATACCTACAACGATCTCTCCATCTCCAGCTGTTGGACAAGGTGTACTAGGTTATCTTTAAATACCTAGGCAATGAATAAATTAGGCAGAAGCCATATCAGAGGTACTGGGAAAGGGCTGTAATGAACCAACTATTCCAAGTGATGAAATTGGAGGTGATTGATGCTTTCATGTCTGATTATAGAGCTTTAAACAGGAGGACCAAAGGAGAGGTCTTTGAAGGCAGCATCGTTACCACTGGAATCCAAACTTCACAGAAACCAAACGAAAATATCTTTAATTAGTGAAAGAAATTGCCCTAAAGTTTTACCCAATAAGGTAGATGAGATTTTTCTTACGCAATTCCATCTCCGCAAATGGGATAATGCGGCGTGGCTTGCCCCACCCGCCAGTGAGGGTATAAAACCTGCGAGAGGTTGGTGATGGTCACAGGCAAGAAACTTATCCTCAACCTCTAAACCATTCTACAATTCCTGACACCATGAGCCACTACAGCAGCTACTATGGAGGCCGAGGCTATGGCCACAGAGGTTTCAATGGACTGGGCTACGGCCATGGAAGCTTTAGTGGCCTGCAATATGGCCATGGAGGTGTCAGTGGCTATGGCTACAACCACAGAGGCGTCAATGGCCTGGGCTATGGCTATGGCTGTGGTAGTGGCAGCTTCCATAGACTGGGCAATCATGGCTTTGGAGGCTACGGATATGGTTCTAGCTATGGAAACCACAGATATGGTGTCTACCATCCCTCATCTTTTGGAGGCTATGGCTTCTCTGGATTCTACTGAAGAGTGAAGTTATCCTTGGACTACTGGAGTCCACTCATGTTTATAGCTCTGCTGAGTTCTCAATAAGCCGCATACATCAGCAGTGGCTGCCTGATGAATTCTCTTCAAGATCAAGACAGCCCTGAAAAGAAACTCCAGAATTAAGAGACAACAGCAAAGAGAGCCCTTCCCATAGAATAATCTGGAACCCTCCTTTTCAGTCTCTTTTATTAATCTCTCTTATTAATCTCTTTTCCTTTCATTACAACAATATGATATACACTTTCATGTTTCAATAAATTCATTTCAGTCAGTAAATGGTATCTCCTTTCCAAAACTTTATTTGACTGTGGGAAGAGAACTTAAAAACACTCATGTGGTTCAAGCTGGCCTAGAACTCACTGTGAAGCAGAGGTTGATTGGGATGTCTCTGCCTCTTGAGTGCTGGGGTTATAGGTGTGTGCAACCCTGCCTGGTTTGTCTGGAGCTGGAAGCTAAAGCTGGGGGATTGTATACAGGAGAGCACTTTACCAGTTGAGGCACGGCTCAATTGTAACACCTTGTAATAAATGCAAAGTTCACAGCACACTGTTGACTATAGGCAGGTGTTGTTTGGCTGATTCTTAGATCTTATCCATCCGTTTAATCCAAACCTTCAACCATTTTATATTAAATCTCTGTTTCCCTTTCTACCCAGATTTTGCCAGCCACCATTTTGCTTCTTGCTTCTGTGAATTCGCCTATTTTTGGATACATCATGTAGGTAGTATTTGTCACCCTACCACTGGCTTATTTCACTTGGTTTCATTTTTATTGATGCGTTGAATTAGACCCACGCTCACAGATCTGTGCCTCCACACTTATCATTGTGTATTCAGGGTCCATGTCAGGGTCAGGCACTTGTAAGTCACCAGAGGACAGTAGATTAGGAATGGTGCTCATTATATCATATAAGACACATATAACCTAGTCACAGGAAGCTTGCCCAGGGCTTTTATAATGTAGCACCAGTTGTATTTGTCCAGTGGTCATCTGAAATGCGATCTGAAATTTGGAATCGTAGTGGTGGTCCATGTTTCCACATTCTTCCTACTCCACGTTCTCGTCTATCTGTCTGTCTACCTGTCTGTCTGTCTCACTGGTTCATCAGCTTCATCTCTATGTATAAGTATTGTTCCAGCATCTGACAAAATGCCTCACTAGGACCTCCGTAGTCGCCTTCCCTGCGTCTCCTTATGGGGTTACATACACGGTCTTGCTATTTGTCAAGAAACATGTTAAATTTATTTAGTGTCAGAGCAAGCCACTGAGAGGGAAGATATTTGCATCATTTATAACAGACACTATTATAAAAAAATTATTGCTTATGGATAGTAGAATGGAAAAAAACTATGTATTCTTATCACAAAAAACCTACACTGTTATGACAGTTAGAGCTGTGTGCATGCAGTAACCTGAGCAAACCTCACAGTCTCGAGCTTGAATGAAGACACGTTGCCATAGTAGAATACGTTGGCTGAAGACCTGTGTATTTCGGTTTCTAAACTAGAAGAAACAAGACACAACTAAGTTAGGTTGTCATTAAGGTTTAAGCCAGTACAGTGGTTACCTTTGGAAGGCAGTGCTAGAAAAAGGCACTTCTGAGGTGACAGTAAGTTCCTTGTTTCTACCTGGGGAGGGTTCCAAGGTGATCAGTCACTGTCCTGGCTAGCTTCAGCTTCAACTTGACCCATCCTAGAGTCAGCTAAGAAAGGAGTCGCTATTGAAGACTGCCCAGGAATTGGCTTGAGAGATTATCTAGGTTGGCGGTTGGTATAGAAGGGCACAGCCCACTGAGGGAGGCGTCATTCCCTGGACAAGCAGTCCTGGACTGTATTAGAAGTCAGGGTAGGCATGGGGTTGTGAGCATGTCAGCAAACAGTATTGCTCAGAGATGTGAATTCAGCTCCTCCCGCTCTGCACAGTAAATCCTTTGCCGACCTGGCCATCTTCCCAGTGCTAGTGTTAATGCTGGTCACGAAAGCCTTCAGAATTCACAAGTGTGTCTGGTGCATTTGAGAAAGATGACTGGAGCTCTAACAAAACGAATGCTGATGGCAAACATTTTCTCACGCTTACGGAAGAAGTGTCTGAGTGTATGTGAAAAACCGGTGGCTTGGAGACTAAGACTCATGGGGACTGTGAACAGAGAGATCAGCACAAACCTTGGCCAGGCAGCTGCTTTTATGACCACTCGCGCAACTAGGATCTTCCATTTGACAGAAATAATGTGCCACACAAGAATGTTTCACTAAATCCAACTTCGCCTGAGTGCTCACTGAGATTTATCTTCATAGGGAAGATTAAAATTTCAAGGCTCAGGGGGAACTGTACTTTCTTTTCCAACTCACCAGCTAAATGGAATGCCATGATCATGTCAAGCCTGAAAAGAAACTTCTGACAGCCGCTCTGATGATCTCAGACAAGATGACACCACATGCCACCTCAGAAACTCCTTTGGAAATTTAAAAGTTTTACTTTTTGTGATGAACCCAGGGTCTTGCCAATACCAGGCAAGCGCTATGCTGCGAGGTCAGTCCACTTGCAAACCCCACTCAAGATATTAGAGCTGAGGCTTAAATGACACCGGGGACCAGCATTAGCTTTATGTGATTAAACTAACGCTACGTTTCAGGACACTTCCTAGGAATACATTTTCAGTGCTTCTTGAAGTCAGTAATTTTTTTTAACCCTTTGGGTGACTGGAGCAGTATGTGGAAGGCACGCATAGGTAGAAAACGTAAAACCCTAGAGCTGGGTTGCATCACCCTCTTCTGCAGTTGCCAGCTCCTCTCAGAGTGTGAGATTTGAAGTAGCTGAGTCTGAATTTGAAATAGCTGAATTCAGATCAAAGACTATTTGTAAGCCTGACTTGGAAAAACATCTTCCGCTGTGGCAGTTTAGCTAGACCACATTGCATCATTAAATAGTTTTCTCAGTGACTTCATCCCCCAAGGGTTTCTTATTTTGTCTCAGTTTTAATGACTTGGCTCCTTCTGGGGCTTTACTGAGCTAGCCCAGGGGTCTGACCTGCCTCAGACTCACGGCCCATGCTCTCTTGCTCACTGTTTTGAGGGAGAGGGGCATGCAGGACGTGCTGCTGTGGGAGAAATGAAGGGCTCACCTGTGCCCCCTTAGCCGCTGAGCTCAGTCCTCAATTCCACGTCCCTGTCTGCCCATGGAAGGGAGAATTGGCAGCTGGTCCTCTCCCTCGATCACAACTAGGTTGGTTACAAAAGAGTGATTTAGGTACAAAACTTTGGACTTACCAAGATAGGAATGATAATAGAGTACTTTCTCCAAATTTGCCAAATACAAATGGACTGGACATTGTAATTCTTACTGTATATAGTTTTACCGCATTAGAGTTAAAACTTTTCATTTAGACAAAATGGGGCATGTTGCAGGATAGTTGATCACACTCTGAAAACCAAGATTGCATTGATTATCGGGTAAACCTGCTTCTAGCTGTGGTATAGCCCAGCTCTCTTACACACCCTTAATCCAAGAGCTTCCCATTTATTGAGAACAGGATTAAATAAAATCAACCATAGCCCGAGAGGTAGAGCAAGCATCTAGTAGCCATAGAGAGTCTGAGGGATGGATAGAGAGATGCACCGAAAGTAGTAGGGAGGGATTTTGAGTTTGGAGGCCCGTTTTGGTTTGGGATGGTGGAAGAAAGCTTTGTTGACAAAGGAGGATGTCCGGTCAGCTGGCTGCTTTCTCTGCCTCTCTGAGTTAGCTAGTTAGAGGTGTCTGGGCAGCCAGGGGTCCGCCATGGCTGCCTCAGGCACCTCAACATAGGGAGACATTACTGTTTTAACTAAGCCTCTATCCATCCCTTTATTTTTACCAATAAAGATCCAGGAGCCAGATGCTGGGTGAAAAAGGATAGCTACAGCTATTGTCAGTTAAATCAAGAAAAATCAACTTCAGTTCTCCATCCCCCCAAACCATCAAGCATTAGAAACAGAAGGAAGGCAAAGGTCAGGAAGAGGGTGACAGCTGCAGAAGCTCAGGGCAAGGCGCAGTGTCCTGCAGAAGCTCAGGGCAAGGCGCAGCGTCCTGCAGAAGCTCAGGGCAAGGCGCGGCGTCATGCGTCTTCCTTTGACTTGGTGATGTTTTCTCTTCAACACACCCTGGTTTTCCTCGATTGTGCCTCCGCGCTGCAGTGTTTGGAACAGCTGATCTTCCCCTACTCTTATTGTGTCTTTCCTCTATGTTCTTAGTCTCTCCATGGTGTTTCCTCAGTTTCATGTGTTTTCTCCTCTTCCTCCTCTTCTCCTTCTTTTACACTGGGTTTACTTAGTGCTGTTAGTGTGTGCCTGCCTATAAGGCCATCTACTGGAGTGTTGGTGACCTCTCAGGGTCATATGCCTAAAACAAACTGACTTTTCCTCTCCCGATAGCTATCAATTGCCAGTAGCTCCTCAGCTAGGTATGGTATTTCATGACCTTCCCCAAAGCATGCTGGGACTTTTTTTGTCTGGCTTGAGCTTGTGCAAGTCTTGGGCACCATGCTACAACCCCTGTGAGTTTCAAATGTCCAACTGCTCTGTTGTGTATGGAGAATTGTTTTATTGTAGTCATCTACTTTTTCAAGTATTACAGAACGCTGATATCTTGTAATGTGTGGTGCATAAGAAAAGGGATAATGGATCCCCGTGTTCCTAAATAGTCATGGAAAGTGGGTTAAGTGTAGACAGGGTTTAACAACTTACCCGACTTTAAACAGAGAAATTGAAAACAAGTCAGTCTTTCCCTTCGTGGTCTTAGCTTTTATCCTCTTCTTCATTTATGTAGGCAGAGTTTCTTCCATGGCCCCCATAAAAATTCCTTTCTCTAATCTGTGGAAGCTGGAAGCGTGACAGAAAGCCATTCTGATTATTGCATCATATTAAATGACACAACTGGCCTCACCGTGACCTGGATGAGCCTGATGCAGTCATCTCAGTTCTTACAAGTGGAATTGTCTCCACTGAAAGTGTGGTGTAGAGGCGTGAAGCACAAGGAA